AATGCTGAAGCGTTTCCGTCAGGAGAAATCTGTTTGGCTGAAATATGCCTCTTTCCTCCTGAAGCAAGGCCAGACTGAGGCTACACACAGGCTTTTGGAGCGTGCTCTCAAGGCTTTGCCCACCAAAGAACGTAAGCACTCTCTTCCACATCCTTAATGTGGACCATGAGTTGACAGGTCTCCAGCAGATGGGGTGCTCTCTGATATCTCTGCCTGTGACAATGTTTGTAGTAAGTGAAAAGTGCAGCCAGTTGGTGCTGAATGTGTCCTGCCCTTGACTCTCGGGGGAAGGAAGTTTCAACCTGGATATCCATTCTAAATCCTCCTGTAATAGAATTTGATGTGATGGTCAAAACAAAGATGACTAAGTCTTACAGCCTTCTAGATAAGTTCAGCTGGTCTAGTCCCAGGTTTGTGGGGCTGCCCATGGATGCTGCAAGATGCATTTTGAATGTAAGAATAAACTTCTGTCTCCTGCATAAAGCTGAAATGGGAAGTGAACTGTGACCCTTCTCTATCCCACTCTGAACCCACCTTGGTCCAGAACCACTTTACAACAGAGCCAGTTGTCTCTGGGTAGAGGTGGTGCTGTCTCTGTGTCTGCCTCTGTTCTGTGTAATTATCACTCGTGTTTGTTCATAGGGGAGAGAGGTGCTGTCATATCCTAACATGTCATTACTTGTTCCAGATGTGGATGTCATTTCAAGATTTGCACAGTTGGAGTTCCATTTTGGGGACCCAGAACATGCCAAGGCCCTTTTTGAGAGCACCCTCAGCAGCTATCCCAAGCGGACAGACATCTGGTCCATCTACATGGATATCATGATCAAACATGGCAGCCAGAAGGAAGTACGGTGAGTTGCGCCTCAGCAGGTTGTGAAAGGGCAGACTACAGTGCTTGGAGTAAGACCTGAAAAGAGCAGAGGTACCCTGCAGCATGAGGTTGTGTAGGGCTTCCCAGAGCAGAGCAAAAGAGAATTTTTATCACCTGAAGAAAGAAAACTGGGGTGTGTGGAAGTCTTTATCCTTGCCAGGACTGAGGAGACTCCAAGCAGATCCATAGGGCAGAGAGGGACTGATTTGTAAGTAGTGGCCTGCATGACAGAAACTAAGGGACTTGCACTGAGGTTCAGTTGACCCTCTGGAGGTATTGCCTTGTTGCATCTGAAGGGTGGGATCAAGTTCTTGTGTATCTTGTAACATAAAAATGGACAAACTTTTTTTTTTTTTTCCCCTTTTTTTCTTTTCTGAGAGTTGACGAAAGAAAGTCAAGCTTTCTGCACTATGGATCCAGCCACATCTGCTTAATGACCACAGGGTCAAATACAGTGGCTGGATCTTAGCTTACATTGACCAGCAGCCTTAGAGTTCTGCAAGCAAATAGAAGGCTTCTATTCCTTCCAGGTTTTGGCCAGTTGTCAGGAATATCTTTCTTCCAGCACAGCACTTCACAGCAGGTTGAATGTCTCCCTTGACCTTCTGCTCGTTGTTCAAAGGCAGGATACAAAACTTGTATTGAGTGCTGTCACCAACACAGCAATCTGAATTACTTTGGTTTCCTGCAGGGACATCTTTGAGAGGGTCATACACCTGAGCTTGGCACCAAAGAAGATGAAATTCTTCTTTAAACGCTACCTGGACTATGAGAAGAAATTTGGCACAACAGAAAGTGTCCTGGCTGTTAAAAGAGCAGCACTTGAGTATGTGGAGACCAAGAGTTCCCTTGCTGACACCTAAGTATGGTGCAAGGAAAAGCAGAGAGACTCAGCTCTTCATGCAGTGTGGGAACAGAGAGGTGTGGAGTTCTGCCGTGAGTGTCCATGGACAGTGAGTTTCTGGAGAGTATTAGTCTGTGACTAAACCAAACTGGAAAGAACAAACAATCAAAGGAAAAGATGTGATAAACGTTTGCAGCTTTGTTCAGATGTTACAAATAATCCTGGTCTGTTGATGACTTTGGAGACACGTTTTTAAATATAGACTGTTTTATAATCAATACAAACATCAGCCATGCCTGTTCTACTTTCCTGGGGAAATGGTGCAGTTATGAATCACTATTTTAAAGTACAACAGTGTCTTAAAAATTGATTTTTCTCTCTGTAAAGATGGCAGAAAAGATTCTTGCCTTTTGACTGAATTAACGCTTTGAAAGATTTATCTCAAGTGCCTTTATGCTCCTAGAAACTGGCAGAGCAATGCAGAATTGTGCATAGTTGAAGTTGGAAGGGACCTCTGCAGATCAGCTGGTTCAAAGCAGGGGTCTGCTAGGCTAGGTTGCTCAGGACCACGTCCAGTTTCGTTTTGATTTCTCAAAGGATAGAGACTCCACAACCTCTCTAGGCAACGTGTTTGACCACATTCACAGTAAATGGAATTTCTTATATTTCATTTTGTGCACATTTCCTCTTGTCCTGTCACTGAGCACCATTAAGAGGAGTCTGGTTACACTTTTTTAACATTCCTATGTCAGGTATTGATACACGTGGATGAGATCCACCTTGAGCTTTCTCCTCAGGCTGAGCAGCTGCAGCTCTCTCAAACTCTTCTTGTATGATGAATACTCCAGCCCCGTAATGGTTTTCTAGTTCCTCTGCTGGACGTGCTCCAGTAAGCCCCTATCTATCCTGTATTGGGGAGCCCAGTACTTGACACATCACCCCAGATGGCTCACCACTGCAGAGTAGAGGGGAAGGATGACCTCCCTCGGCCTGCTGGTAATGCTCTGCCTAACACAGCCCAGGATGCTCTTGTCCTCAAGCTGAAAGGGTGTATGCCTTTAAAGCCCACAGCACCCAATTACAATGGATCCCCTGATCACAACCATCTGCTGTAATGAGTTGCCAGGGATTGATGACAGAAAAAATATAGATTTTCAGAAGTAGTTGTCTCTTAAGAGAAGTCAAAGGAAAAAAAAGTGGTCTTTCCATGCTGGAAAAGAAGTCATCCCAATCTAACCTGCTTGGAAAAAGCCAGGTATCTTGGGTACTTATGTAGGCTCTATCACTGGTGTTAATGCCTTATGATCCATATTGTAACTCTCCAGTAAGATGTGGATATGATTATCCACATGTTTTACAAATGAAGAACTGAAGGCAAGAGGAGAAGCAGGGTATGCAAACAGGTATGATTATCCAATGTAGACGCTATAGAGTGGGTGCCCAGCCTCGAAATACCAAACTTGAAAAGTCTTACTCATTGCAGGTACTCTGAACTCAAAAGCAGAGCTTTGCAGGACCTATCTCTTCTGCCTCTGTAAATGCCCAGTGTTGACAAGACTGAATGATTAGGCATTTCATTCATTCACAAGTCTGTTGGGATCCAGAAACAAGTCATTTCACTTCTTGACCCCAGGGAGAGCAGGATGCTCTACTCAGATTTTGCTTAATGCTCTTCTAGAGGAGGAGGCTGCTTACAACATCTAGTAGCAGCTGCTGCTTTTTTTAAGAACGCAGCTGCAATGATGGTGGCTTTTTTGTTTGGATTAGTTAGTTACATAACAGAATACATAAATAAGCGTGGTAATAGAAACCAAGATCCCTTTGAGGTATTGTTTCTTTTTGACTACTGGGGCTATTATAGTCTCTACAATAGTCAGCAGGAAAAATGAAAAACCTGTGTGTAATTCTCTGTACTGGAGGAGCCTGGTTTGAACCCATCTTGCTGCTGGGAAGTGTGACCTAACTGACAACCTCTAGGCTGCTCTGTGATGGGGTTGGTTTTGGCCTCTGGAGGAAAAGCAGAGAGCGTGATCTTGCAGCCTACATGATCCAGCATGCCAGGAAGATGGGCAGCTCCATTTCCCTCTTGGCGTTTTGGTGGGAAGCCTAGCCTGGTTGCCTGTGCTGGTGTGTAAAGCTATGTGGGTTAACATCCCTCACCTCAGCATCCTCACTGGGGCAGGATGAACAACAGGCAGCAGGTGTATTTGTGAGGGTGCTGATGGCCTGTGAGGGCCACAAGCCTAGGGCTGTCTCAGTGGGGACCATGCTCGGGGTGGCAGAGGGAAGGAGGGAAACAAAATAATCCCTACAATTGCAAGTATTTCCAAGTGCAGTAGTTCAATCCGCTCCTCAGTGTCAGCTGTCCACTCAAACATGCCTCTTCAACAAGGGGGAGGGGAAAACAGACAAGTTGGACAAACCTCTAGCCCCTCCCAGCACATGGAAAGTGGCTGGAGTTGATGGAGAAGGGATAGGAGGTAAACAGAGCAAAAACTGTTCTGTGCATATGGCTTATTCTTTGGATAAACAAATCCATTCCCAAGCATTATGTGTCTTGCCCCTTTCCTTCAAAGGAGGGAAGGGGAGGAGAAGGAACTGGAGTGGAGGTGGTTCAAAGGAACAACTAGGGATATCAAGGAGGAAGGCAAGGGAAGTAAAGGAAGTAAGAGGAATGCTGCTTTGTTTCAGCAAGTTACCTTGCATCTGCTGACCTGCGTGTGGGGGTGGCATGCGTGTCTGCATGTTCTCACTCGAGGGCCAATGACAAGAAATGCAAATTAACTCTTTCATCTCAAGTTAATGCAATTTCATGTAACTTGCATCTGATCGTTCCGGCAGATTAGCTGATGGTGAGGCTGGGAGCCAAGCCTTCCCACAAATGCAAGGCAAATCTGTAGAGAAGCTGAACAGGGATCCTGGAATGCCTCACCCATTAAGCGGTGTTCCAGCCTGTTTATGTGAGGAAATACCCTTCAGCTTTCTTGCAAGGGGACATATTTATAACAAGGTTTCTAAATACGTTTTCTATCCTTTGCTGCAATTGTGGATCCGGATGTACAAGGTTTGTGTTACTCAGTGTAAGAATAACTAAAAAGCAGTGTTACCAACTTGTAGTATGTGGTAATACTCTTAAATTTCACATTCTGGGGTCATCTGGATAGAAGAAGATCTGAATGTTTAATAGAAAAAAAAAATAAGTTTCCAGTCCTTGAGTTCAAAGAGAATGTTAAATTATGCCTTTTGTGCCCCCCTGAAAAAAAAAAAAACAAAACTCACAAGGCAATGAAAAAAACTCATTTAATAATTTATTTCAAATCTCCTTGTGTGTAATCCGCTCTGAGTTCTGTAGGTTTGAGTTGTTTTTTGAACAATTTAAGGCTTTTCAGTAAATGGGACAGTGTAAAAGGAAGTTGTACCTATAAAGAAACAATACAAGTAGGAAAACCAAACTTCACTGTCCTGCCAACTCTTAAAACACTGTTGGGTACATAAAACTGACCCTCGGGAGAGAAGGAACTGTGCAGTGCCAGAAGAACAGCCTTGAAGCCACAATCAGCACAGCGTCATGGTGAGGGCAACAATTTTATACCTGTCTGACTTTGCTTTCTCAGAGTATGGTCAAGTCCATAAAAGAGGCCTTCTGCTGCAGGGACTGTTTAAGGCAGTGGAAAAAGTTTAAGAAAATTCAGTGGTAGAAGGGTAGGGAGAGGGCTGCTCCTCCCATCACATTCCTGCTGTCCCTCGTCACTCCAGGGCTGCAGTCCCAGTGCAGCAGATGGGTGCATGTACTGTGGTCTTTTGGCTGGCAACTTTCTCATCCCCTTTCCCCTGAAGAAAGATGTTCCATTAACTACAGTTACATAGTATATATACTCTCTGTATATACCTGTATATATACATATATTGAAAACTAATTCTGGTTGAGGTCTTGCTTCAACTCGCAACCCAAACAAGCAGGACTCTGATCTGATGGTTGGATGAGAAATGCAATGAGCTGCGGTGTGGCTCACTGCGGGTGCTCCTTCCTCTCAGCCGCCACCTGGCCTGAAAGCTATTCTGCTGATGGTGCCATCTTCTGGGTTTATAAACTCATGGTTGTGACCATTTGGGCTCATTAGAGATTGCTAGGCACTTCAGTAAGAACAAAGGGAGTTTGGTGTCCTACCCAAATTCCAACTTGGTAATTACAGAGTGTCTTTCTGAATACCAGGAATTATTGGTGATTCCTCCTGTCTTAGTCTCTCAGTTATTTGATATGCTGCTGTATTACTGACCCATTCCTTCCCAGGTGCTATTGCACCCCACCTTGCCACAGGAATTTACCCACTGCTTTCCTCTTTTCCCTGTGCTGTGAAGTGGTCCGGGACCTGCCTCTGCAACAGGCACCACACAACTGCATAAGAAGATACCAATGTCAATGAAACAAGCAGGTGTGCAGGATGGCTGGGGCTAACCCTGCCATGGGGGAGACAAGTGGGACTGCAGGAATCGCAGTCAGAAAAGTCATGCCCATCTCTTGCTCCCCAGAGCTTCTGCTGGTGCATTAGACAGCAGGGTGCACTGGCAGCCTGGAGGTTAGGTGTGCATCTGCTCTTTGTTCCCCTTGGGTCTCTGGAAGCAGCAAGGAGATAGTTGTCTCCAAGGGAGGGGTTCCCTAGCTCAGTGTATTGCTTATCAGTCTCTACCTTGAGGCTGTTGATCCCTGTTTACCCACTGAGAGAAGTAATCCTTCTGGGAGGAATATTCCCAGTGAATCCCTCAGTCACACGCTGATTCTGGTAGGCCTGCCAGACAGTCTGGGGAGCTTCTGCCACCACCTGTCTGTCTTAGGAAGCCAAAAAGAGCATTTCGTGGCCTTCTGGGCTTGGCCCGTTCCCTTCCACCCCTTTGGCCCATTTGTGGAGCCGGCTGTAGAGGGGGAAGCCCTTGTTCTCCCGGTAGATGTAGACACCTGTGATGGCATTCCACTGGGGGCTCGGCTGGACGCCCTCCACTGGGAACTCCTGTACCAGCTCCTTCTCCTCCTTGTCTAGTGCCACAAAGCCAAAGAAGTGCTTCACATTCTTGGCTGCCAGGATCCTGGAGTGGACCTCGGCCGTGCGTCGGAACAGCTTGTCCTCGTTGGAGCGGTATTGGGCCCAGTAAGCCTCCTGCCTGTAGCTCAGTGGTGAGCAGCAGTGTTTCAGGCACTTGGTGAGGAAAACCAGGACTGCGACGATGCCAATGAGCAGCCAGCCAAAGAGCTGAGAGAGAAGAGAGAGGCTGCGTTAGGACATGGCAAGGTGGTCTTACCCACTCCACGTGGCTTTCTCCCCAGCGTGCCTACCTGGGACTCATATCTCAGCCTCCGTGTCACCTCGTCCCTGAACTTGGTGAGGTTCGCTGGTACATCTTTACAGGGGAACCTGGCCAGCACCTCGGCCCCATACTCAGCTGGGAACTTGTCCAGGGAGGATGGCCTGACAAACTCGCTGAGGGCGCAGATGTAAGCCTCCCCGCGCAGCAGCGAGATGACCGACCAGGTGACGGGTGCCACAGCCGCCCGGCCCATGATGGACCCGAAGAGGAGGAAGGTGGCAGCGGCAGAGAAGTTCTTGGTGCCACGCTTGTGGCACTCGGCCACCAGGTTCCAGGTGTGGTTGTTCCAGATGACACCGATGAGGAAGAGGGCTAGGGCTGGGACGCCGATGGCAGCCAGCCCATAGATGTAGTTGCGGGCAGGGGAGCAGGGGCAGTTGAAGGCAACAACTGAGAAGAGCTCCTCACTCCCCACTGTGCCCAGGGCCACCAAACCATTGAAGATCATCACGTCTTTGCTCTTGAAGAACAAGGAGAGGAAGCGGAAGTTCTCAGCAACGAGGGCGGCCATCTCGTCCTGGGGGCGAGACGAGGCACGTAGTGCAGTGGCGCGCCGTGCTGGCCCACCTCCCAGCACCCAGAGACACACCAGTGCGGGGTGAAACGGCCTTGGGCCAGCTGATGTACAAGAAGCTGCTCCGGGAGCACAGCACCTTCACTGCTGTCCCTTCCTCCCACCTGGTGCTCCAGCCTTGAGCTGGTTGCTGATACCAGGGATACTTCAAAAGGGACTGAAGAGGGATTCAGCCTAAGCAATGTGTGAAATCTCAGTCATTTCAGTTTCCCACTTAACTCTCCAAAAGCATCTCTACAGCGAAGATTACCAGCGGCACAGCTGTTTCTGCCCCTCACTTGCACATTCGTCGTCTTTCCTTCTCTGGTTTTAGCCACCCCCTGCAGAGGCGATTACTGTCAGCGTCGCTGCCAGACACTCGATGATCTCCCAAGCCTACAACGAAGGAGGACGCCGCGTTACTGGGAGAACTGGACCAGAGCACTGGCACTAGGATGTGTCCCCAGCCCTGATGCTGACTCACACTAGCCCTGGTGCACGCAACACGTGCATGGTGGTGCCGTGCTGCCTTGAAGGTGCTGTGTGTGGCTTTTACCTTCCTCGTTAGACCTGATGAGCTAACATTTAGTAACAGGCAAAGGTATGTCAGGGAGGCAGCAAGAGGTGCTGTGAGATGGCCCAGCAGGTTTGCGGGCAGAAAGATGTGGATGGGAGGACCAGGCAGGAGCAGCCTGTGCTGACAGGGCTGAGGGGATGCTCGGGGGCTGTTGCTACCAGCAAGAGAAGTTACTTTCTGGGAAAACCAAGCTTTCTTATCTCGATGACCCAGGGTACAAACACCAAATGCCAATACAGCTCAGTCAGCAATTACATAGGAGTTTTCGCTAGGATTAGGTGTGGCAAGATGATCTTCTCTCCCGCTGTCCTGGCTCAGCCTCTAAGTGCTGGCCTGAAATTGAGCCCCTCGACCTGCACACCTCGGTGCTATAGATGCACTTCACTGCCCTGTGACTGTGTGGCTTCCCCCAGCCCCTTCTCCCAGTACAACACTGGTTATACTGGGGTGTCCATCCCACCAACAGGGCTGGGCTCTGTGGACTTCATGCACTGGGGACCAAGCAGGGGAACGCATGTGCCCTGATTTTTTTGAAGGACAGGGTAATAATTGGGCAGTGTATCTATGCCCTCTGTAGTGATGCCTATTGCCCCATGCCCCTTGCAAGCTGCATTTAATTAATTTCTTAGTTACTTTTCCATCTGTGCTGCATCCCCACAGGGCTTCATCTCAGGAAGCCTCAAGCACCCTGCTAGCTCTGGGAACCCTCACCCATGTGACAAAACCTGCTGGCCTCAGGGGTGTTGCTGTCACTGGGGTTTGCTTTAGACAGGAAGAACCTGGCACCCAACTAACCGTCTCTGGCAGCCTGTCCAGTGCCAAGAGCATTGGCACACATGTGGGGTTCCCACAGAGCCCTGACACACAGCAGGGCTGCCCCAAAATCTGCCCCAATGCTGGCATCTCTCAGCTGTCGTGCGTGGAGCAAGGCCTCCCTTGGCCAGCCCCAGCTGTGAGGAAAAGGCTGCAGGGACATTCATGTAGAGGAGACAAAAGCACCTTAATAATCCTTAATGGTCTCTTGTACAAGACTTACTAATGCACTGTGCTTTAAATCACTAGTGTGCTTCGGTTCACCTGCTGCCCCACCAAATCCTGTTTTACCCCCTTCCTCCATGGGGCATCAGAGGGGAACAGAGGCAGAAATTTGGCCTCAGTTCCCTGCTGTGTCTAACCCATGGCAGTCCCTTTATAGTCATGCTGTGGTATCGCTGAGTTCAAACACAAGAAGCCCTTAATGTCTTCCTGCATCTTCCCAGTTTTCCATATGCAAAACTCCCTCGGCAAAGGAGATGGACCAGCCAAAAACTGCAGCCACGTGACGGGGAGCCAGGCCTCCATCTCCGGCTGCTGCGCTTTGTGGTACACCACGTTTGCAGCCAGATGCTAAACCTGCAAACTTGTTCTAGTGCGTGGGGTACAAAGCCCTGTTATTAGAGTTACCAGCAAATAGCCCTGATAAACAAGGCCCTGTGACCTTCCTGACAGTGTCTGGCCACCAGCAAAGTAAAAATAAGAGGAGCTGGCAAAGAGGAATATGTCTTTTTTGGGAGGGGGGGTTTACCCTTCCTCTGCTTGGTAGTTGGGTGCTTGTCTGGGAGAGAGAGGGGTGGGTAGGAGGGGAGGGGAAAAGTTGTCTGCAGCAGATCATTTTTTAGAAGCCTCTGCTAAAGTCTTTCCCTAAAACGTGCAGTAAAGCAAGAAGAAATTAAGTCACTTACTCGAAAAGTTGTTGAAACCAGTTCTGGAGCCTTCTCAGCTACTTGCGTGGATTTTGCTGGGGCTCTGGCTGCGGGGGGGTCCCAGCAGCGCGCGGGGCGGTACAGAAGTGGGGATGTGGCTGAGGCTGGCCGATGGGTGAAGCGAAAGCTGATGAAAACAGTCTGAAGAGTTTGGCAGCTTCCTTTTTCAGTCTGCAATGTGCCTTCCGCTGTCGGCTTTTGGGAGGAGGGAGGAGGTTGTTCTTGGGCCCTGTGCTTGGGTGGGGCAAAGAGCAGGCGCTTGGCTTCTGCTGAGTGCAAGCCTGAGGTTGTGCCTTTAAAAAGAAAAAAATAAAAAAAAAAAAAAAAAAAAACCAAAGGAAAGACTGAGAATGAGTCACTGAAAAAAGCACATCCTGATTGTTCAGACCCACAGTGCAGCTGTGCAAAGGCTGGCCAGACGGCCCCGGGGTTTTCCTGGAGGACAGTTGCGATGGGGTGTCTTATTGGGGTGCAAAGGGGAAGTGCTGGAGCCCCCCAGCCTAGTGGGGTGGATGCAGCCCGCATCGGTCCCCAGGAGATGCCACTGTACGTGGGAGAAGCCCTTGGTCCCACGTGAAGGGGCAGGAATTGTTGCTTTTGTGCGTGGGAGCCGGATGAGCCAGTGGGGAAGACGCCAGCCTGGGGTGCGTTTTTGGGAAAAGAAGAAACCCACGGTCACAAGCTCTGTGGGGCAGCCAGGTTTTGCTTCCCACCACCCAGGACTGAGCAGCGGGGCTGCTGCAGGGGCAGTGGGGGCTGAGCGGGGCCGGGGGAGCCACGTGTGTGGGGCTGGGCACAGCCCGCGATTTGGCGAGCATGGTGAATTCCTGCCTGGATCAGCTTTTCCGCTCGCTGCTTCCTCTGCGGAGCGATGCCTGCGAGGTAGTAGAGGATGCCTTACTTTCCCCTTGCGTCGCTCCCTCCTCTCTGCCGTCTGTCCCTCAGCTCCAGCTTCTGCCCAGCTTGTTGCAGAGGACAGAGGCCTCTGTCCTTCTTCCCCAGCCTCCTTGTCGCCATGTCCCCAGGCTCCAGCTCAGCCTTCCCCAGAGGATGTCTTCAGCACAGACAAATCTTCAGCAACACCCATGTTCCTCTCTGCCAGAGGAAAGCTAAGCTCAGCCCAGCATCAGCAGTTCAGCTGGGATTTTTGGACTGAGTCCTCCTTCCTTCTTACCCCCAGATCTGAGGTCCCCGGGCAGGTTTTTTGGAACTCCCAGGTGTTTGGGTGCGGTGCACCCCTTGGCACTCCCACACCTCCGCGCCTGCCCAGGGCTGGCTCCCCTCCTGCCCGGCGCCTGCTGGCTGGGCTGGGGACCTCGGGGCTTGATCCACGCTCGGGGCGCTGCTGCTGACTGAGCTCAGCACCGGGACTGCAGCCAGGCTGAAACCCCGGGGGCTGTGTGGAGTTCCCTAGCAAAGATTCTCCTCCTGGAGATGATGAACGATATTCCCAAAGTCCACCACAGAAAGGACAATCTGCCTGCTCTGTGGGGACTCTTTATGACTGCTGATATTGCTGCATAGGGGCAGAGCTCCGATCCTAAAAATCTAAATTAAAAGCCCAAAAGCTTTTCTTTACAAATGCATGCTTTTTTTTTTTTTTTGGTATCTTAATGGCTTTACTGTGAAGCCCACCAGCCCTGCATGATGCTTGCCATTGTGGGGACTGTGAGCGTGCCTTTCTGGGTGAGCCATTAACAGTGCTGAACTGCAAATAATAGGAGTGGTAACCGCCTTTATCTTTTGATCTCCTTTGCTTTGTAAATCAGGTTTTGTGCCTATTAATTTCTGGGCAGGTGCCTTAATTAAAGTTTGGGGTGTGAAGATTAATGACAAATCTATGTCACGCTCCTTTCTCCTGAGAGTCAGCCTGGCCTTGACTGTGAACTTGCTAAGGCTCTCTCACAGAAGCTTGGAGAATTTCCTTGTCATTTTGGTCCTTTGTTCTCCTCTCCCCACAGTCTCTGTGGACTTACACACTGATAATTAAGGTTTATACAAACGACAGTCACCTCAGTTACCAGCCAGCTGTAATAAGTTGGTTTAAACAAGAATGCAGCAGCAGAAATTTCAAGGGGATGAGCATTTTGAAAGGGACGCGGCAGGCGTAAAACTCGTGTTTCAAAAGGGGTTTTCTTTCTGCCTGTTGGTAATAAAATCAGGGCTATCAGGGACCTCTCTTCTGGGCTGCGATTTGCACAGTCACCTTGAGGACCTGCATCCCATCACTTTCAGTTTCTATGGAAATGGGCAGCCACCTGGTATTGCGTAGGGTCACGGGTGCCTCCCCAGCTTCTCCTCTGAGGGCCAGGGCTAGCTTGCCACTGGCTCCCACACACCAGAAAAATACCCCAATTTACATGGCCTCAGCACCCGGGGCTTGGCCGAGGGGACTGCCAGTTGTTTTCATTGCATTCAAGTGAAGAAACATCAACAGCTTTGTAAATAACTTTTATAAATCCTTGTGCCTGAGCACAGAGCTTGAACAGTAAGCCTGAATTATATATTTGGCCCCTTAAACAAACACCCAGGTGGGTTTTTAACATCAGTCTTTGTGTCAGGAAGGGATCCAGGTAAAATTGCAAGAACAAACTGTCCTGCAGCAAATTTGTGAAAGAAGGTTGGCCTGGCCCCCACCCTCCATGCTGCTGGATGATAGCTGCTCTCCTTGTCTAGACAGTCCCTTTGAGGAGCATCTCTGTGGGCTCCTCACTGAATAGTACTTGTGACACTAACCACGCCGTTCCCGTCACATGTAATGCAACATGGGATGTCCCTTCACTAGCTCATTGCTTGGGTCAAATTTATTTTAAAGGTTTTCTTGGTCTGGAAGTTGTGTATGTCCATAGGGACGTAGTGTGTAGAGGGGTAATAGGGAGACTTCTGGGGTTCCACAGCTTAGCGTGAGAAAGGGGCACCCTCTTCTTGTTTCCCCACCAGGAGATTTTTAATACTGCTTAAACCCACATGTGCTGCCCAGTGCTGAGCATGTGGTAGAAGAAAGGGAGTTTTGCACCTCTGGTAGTGTCTGCCTTGGCAACTGCAACAACACAAACCTGGTGCTTGGTGGTGTAGGACACACGGCAAGTCTGTCCAGCTGCCACCTTGTGCCCTTCAGCATCCCTAGCGCTTGTCCATCACGACCTTGAGTAGCCATCCTGCTCTGCACAAAACTTGTTACCTGAATTACCAATGCGATAGAACCCGATGTGAGAGCAGATGGGATCGCACCGGCACCGCCGAGCCCTTTGGGTGTCTGTCCCCCTTCAGCACCCATGGCGCTGGCCCTCACCTCCACCCGGCTTGGACACTCGCCCATCCACCCTCTCTGCAGCCCCCCCCCCCCCCCCCCCCCCCCCCCCAAAAAAACGCGGCTCTGCTTCTCCATAGCCCTGTGCCCCCTCACACCCTGCTGTAGTAGGCAGCTATCTCCCTTCGGGGCAGTGGGGGGGGTGGGGGGGGCTGCTCTTCCCCTGCCCAGCCGTTGCTGAGGGCAGGTGTGTGGAGGCGCAGCGGGGGCTTGCATCTGTGCCAGCTCTTCAAGGCTGTGTTCATGGTACCTTGGTCGGTGATGCCCAGGAGCTTCTCAGCAGCTTCCCCCACATCTGCAGGGGCTTTCCTGGGCAGGTGGCAGTGAGCGGCTGCCAGGTCCGTGCTCATGCCTTCGAAGAACTGCTGGATGCAGACCTTGGCAAAGCTCCTGGCGTGCTCCGTACACGTCTCATCGAACAGCTTGCGCTCGATGTCGATGTAGTGGGACCAGTACCTGCTCTTCAGGAAGGCGGCTTGGGTGAAGCAGGGCCGGAGGGATCTGACCAAGAAAGCCAGCGTGGTCATCAGCAGCACAAAACACCAGCCCAGAGCCTGCAGGGACGAGGGGGGAACCGGACCCGTCACAGGCAGGCAGAGCACCTGCCCAGCACAGCCCACCAGCGAGCAGGAGCTCCCCCGGCTGCCAACGAGTCTGGCTCCACTTCGGGCTGTTTGACATTTGGCTGTGTTTACATTGCAGAGCTGGACGAGGAGACTCCACATACCATGTTGGTGCATCTGCGCTGAAAATTTGTTCGATGCACCAACATAGGCAGCACCTCTCCGCTTCTTGCCCTGCATGGCATCAGCAGGCAGTGACCATAAATAACACCAGACTGAATCCTGCACCCAGCCCTCAGTCCTGCCTCCGATACGCCCATGCCTCACCTGGGTCTAGGGTAGTCTGTGTCCTCTGACTCGCAGCTAATATTGTCCCAGATGCTCCCTGAGTTTATGTAGCTGTCTAACCCTTTTCCCAAGCTGTTTGACCTGGTAACATTTATCGTGGGTGAGCAGTGGTGACAGGCTCCCCTGTTAATGGGCTCTGACAGGAAGGGTGACATGAGGGCAGAGCCACGACCCGCCTGTCTTCTCCATCATCAGTTTTAGGTCAGGCTGCCTCCAGGCTGTGCAGGCAGAGATCATGAGGGTGAACCCCACTCTAAATGCAGCCCGTAAAAGTGCACCTGGAAGGGGGGTATCTGGGTGGCACTTGTTTTGCAGCTACCTGATTTCCATGCAGCTGGGAATTGGGCTCTACCCAGGAAAATCTACTTTGTGTTTTCATAAAAGCTTCTTTGCCTCCATTTCTCTTCTTAAATTGGGGATTATAATTCCTGTCTGCTCTAAGGAGGTCAGGGAGAGGAGCTGCTTTTAAACAGGAGTACATGAGTGACCAGAGTGGATCAGACCATCCTGTCTCCAAGGTGACCAGGAACAGAGGGCTTGAAAGGAATAAAGCACAGGACAAGCAGTAAGTGGCACTTATTGTGTTTCTTTGGGATGGTTAATAAACAAATACTGACTGCTTCCATGCAAGCGGCAGAGGCAAGTGGCATAGATGATAATCAGCCCATTGCTTTCACATGTTATAATAAGCAGTAAGAGCAACCATGGGCAACCTGTAGATCACGGGAGGGGGTGACAACCCACCAGCCAGGCAATAACATCCACATCAGCCCCTTCTGGACCTGCTCTAAGTTAATTTCTGCATACAGCTTGGCCGTGTATCTCTGCCCTGCAGCCCCAGGCTGTCCAGGCAGGAGGGGGACATGAATTATCAGGACAACCTACAGCTTCAGTCTCTGCACCACACAGGAGGCATAACTCTCTGGAGCTGAGTCTGAACACCTCGTACCCTTGCGAAATCACCAGTCTTTCCTCCTTGATTTCAACTAGGAGATTCCCTCAAGGGGAGAGCTAAGGCTGGCAGTGCCTAACCCTAAACCATCAGCAAGGGCACAGCCATGACTCCTCTCACCTGTGAGATGCAGCGCAGGTACCTGACAGCCACTTCATTGGCGATGAGCTCCTGTCCATCATAGATCTCCTTGCAGGGGATGCGGGCGAGGACCCGCTTCATCTCTCCCTGGGAGAGGCCGGCATGGCTGGCGTTGCCCAGGGTCTCCACAGGCACCGAGGTGCAGAAGGCACAGGTGATGCACTTGCCATCCAGCAGCGTCACCGAGACCCAGACGGCCGGGGCGATCATGGCCCGCTGTGCCATGGAGCAGAACATGTAGCGCAGGACGGCCGGGTCCTTCCCTCGCTGGCCCCGGGGCCGCCTCCACTCCTCTGCCAGCATGGAGACATTGTTGTTCAGCACGAAGCCCAGCAGGAACAAGATGAAGGGAGGCACAAGGAGGATGCCCAGTCCATAGACGACATTGTAGTGTGGCAGGCAGGGACAGTTGAAGTCAAAGGCTGAGTACATTTGGGCGCTGGCAAGGGCCATGATGCCACAGATGCCGTTCATGAAGGATTCCTGGTTGGACTGAAGGAACTGGAAGATCATCCGAAACTTGTCCATCTTCCCTTAATGTGATTCCTTCCCCCACTGGGGTCCAAGCTGTGGCCTTGGTTTACTTCATTCCTTCAGCCCCATTCTTCAAAGATAGGCATCAACAAGTCTCTGTGCAGTTCACTGATTCATTCATGCACTCTTACAGCCCCAATATTTAAAGCACAAAATTAAAATATTTTCAGCAGATTTTGCTGCTTGCAAAAGTTCAGAGGTTGCTTCCTCCTGCTCTTCTTTGGGTCTGTGGGATCGGGATTGTTTCTGGTTTGCTAAACCTGGCTTCATTCTTCTGCAGTCTCCCAGCCACTGGTCCCCTTGGCTGGAGGGTGCAGGTGTTACCATGGCTGTGCCCTCCCCAGAGCAATCTGTGCCCTGGGCAGAAAGGGGAGTTGGCTGCTTGGCCTTTGTGAACCTGTTTGCAAATGCAGGAGGTGGGTGCTCCTCCTAAGACTGAATGGGACACCTCACCTCTTCGGTGCTGGCACGAATGGAAAAGCAGGATGCCAGAGCTTCCCCCCTCCCTCCAGGTCTGCATCGCCCCAGCAACATCTAATGCAAACACCTTGCAGGTCTGCCAGGCCCCTCCTATGTACCTGCTTCACTGGGAAATACCTTTTCTGGTTTATTCCGCAGAGGGAAGGGAAGAGAAAAGGAAAGACAGAGGAAGGAGGGATAAAGCTCTCAGTGCTCTTGGATATTGTATCTGTATTGCCAAGACCTGTTAGTGGCTCCCCTCTGTCCTGCAAATGTCGATATTTCAGCCAGACTTAGAAGATGACACTTGTAGCTCCTTGGTTTTCACAGCCCTGTGCCCTCAAGGCTTGCTGAAATATCCTTCAAACCCTGGTTCACATAGTCTGGCAACATCCAGAGGCACATAGTGCTTTTCCTGGCTTTGGGGCTGGAGAAAAATAGTCATAGAAAGGAGAGAGGGCTGCAGGGACAAGGGCACAGAGGACTCACCCTGCTCCACCGGTGGGTCCTGCTGAGAGCACCTGAGCCCTGGGTACCTCTACTTTCTCAGTGTATGCTTCCTGTGCAGCAGAGCTCTGAGATTCAGGCTTTTATCTGAGATTTCTTCTTTTCACCCACTTTCAATGAGCACGTCTGAAGGGCTTGAGTGTACTTTGCTCTGAATGGCAGTGACGAAGGCTGAATGATTTTCTTTCAGCCACCTCTAGTGGGTATAATACCAGCCCCTTGATAAATCTGGGATGTGCAGGAATTGGGAATACAAAAAGGGTGTGTAAATCCTGCCAGTGACCTCCCTGGCCCAAGGGCAGCCACTATGCCCTGAGGGACTGTGTTTCCCAGTAGTACCAGATCACCTGCAGGCATGGATGGTCAGAACTCTTCCTGCCCATCAGACCAGTCCGTACCAGCAGTCCCAGGAGCTGAGGGTGCAGTGGAGCTGCTGCTCCTCTGAAGATCACACAAATCCTGCTGGGAAGGGCATAGCAAGGACTACCTGAGAGAGCAATGTACATCTGTTTAGCAGGAGGGGCTGAGGCTGGGTTTCGGCTATATGCCTTGACCTGAGGCTAAGGTGTTTAAGGGCACGTTTCCCATGCAACCAGTTCATGGTGCAGGGAGGACTGAGCTAGCTGGATGCTGGGCTGGCTGGTCCATACAGCACGGGGTTGCTGACAGTTTAGCCAGGCCACTTTATCTGATCTTAGTAGCAACACCAGGTGATCTGGACTCAAGCAGACCTGAATACCTGCACTGCCCTCCCTGCTCTTTGCACACCAGGAGCAGCCCAGGAAGAGCCAGCTCAGGTCTGTGGTGGACATATCCCACATGTTGATATTGGGATGCAAAGCTTCCCCATCACTTCCATCCCCCTCTCCCCTTTCACAAGGGCACAGCTCAGTTCAGCTCATTGCTGTCAGCTCTGCAGACCTGGGGGATTTCTGATGCTGATATATTGAGCACATTTTCCAGCACAGAGCCAACCAGACAGACTCCTCCCCAGCTTGCCAGAACTGAGACAAACACTAATGAGATGTGATAGCTATGGTTGGGCCAGGCTTAGCTCCTACAGCACAAACCTAAAAAAAGTGGACTGTGGTGCTGGTGTTCTCCTGCATCTCTATTCCCAGTTACCAAAGCATCTTTGACACACTAGATTGCTCCTTCAAGCTGGCCAAAAGATGGGGGAGTACTGGGACTACAAGTGGCCATAAAACAGATGGTTGCAGTATTGACTACCTGCAAGGTGTTCAGTCCCTCTGGTCCAAGCACTACTTGTGCTGTTGACATGAGTATCAAGATACATCTCACTGTCTGGGCACCAGTGTGGCTGCATTGGTGGCTTTGAAACGTGTCACCAAGGCAAGCTGTAGATAGGTGGGTGGCATACAGGAGATACTTTTCCCCAAGGTTTTGCAGTGTGTCAGTACAGATGTGGGAAGCCAAACTGGGTGTTTTGACCATTAGTCAGTGCTGCAGTTTCTGATGTCGCCCCCCACACCAGCCCTGAGGCCCAATCGATAATACCAAGTTCACTCTGAGATGCCACCACAGAGGTGAGTACAAAGCGTGTGGGTTAATACCTGGGCAGTCTTAGCTCTGCCTGCTGTGGAGAGGTTAATTGCATGATCTCATCAAATGGGAAGAGATTTGGCTGCATGAATATAGATGAGGCTTATAGTACTGCTAACTAAGAGTTCAGGCTGGCTTCCCTGTTCACCTGGCGAGTGGCTTTTTGAAGGGCAGTTCACATCAAAGCCTGCATGAATCAACCTCATAAAAAGCAGAGAGCTTTTTGATCTCCAGGAAAACTCTGGTTTTCATTAAAAATGAATGAGGTGTCTGATCCTGCTTGGTGTACAGTACTGACAGTCCTTATTGAAGCCAGCAATAAGTCAGTGGGATTCAAAACAGAGTCCACAGAAGCCAATGCCTGGGTCTTTCCATGTTGCCTTGTTAGGGAGGACCTTGTTTTCACGAGCTTGGCAACAGAAAATTCACTCCAACCAATTTGCAAGAGAAGGCAGAGCTTCCTCCCATGATCTCAACCTGCTTGTGCTTTGGAAACCAGGTCCTGGGAACACCCAGGTCCCTCCCAGCATGATGTCCTGCACCTGTATGCCAAAACAGACACCAGTCCAAGGAGTCAAGGAGGGCTTTGTCTCTCCCAGTCATTGTAGGATATAGAGAAGAAGAACATGAAAACAGTCACATTTATCATCAGAAGAGTTTGAGAAGAGATTGGTAAAGTTGTCTTTGCAGTCAGTCGTGCTGTTTCACAGGCTCTTGGCAGGTGAGGACCCCTGAGCACATCAGACATGTCTGTAGGTCAGGCATCAGACCAGCCTCAAGAGGCAGAGAGCTGTTCAAGTTTGTGAACAACCCTCTCCACTCCCACCTACACAGGAGGGTGCACACTCCTAGCAGAGCTTGTGGGAAGGAACCTCTGGAGATTGTCTGGTTCACCCACCCTGCTCAAAGCATGCTTAGGGACACATCTAATAAGGTTGTGAATATCTTCATGGATGGAGGTGCCACAATTCCTCTGGCAGATTGTTTCATCAGCTTCAAATTAAATAAGTGTTTTCTTCCATTTAAATTGAATTTCCTGCATTTTGGGTTTGTGCCTGTTGCCTCTTGTCCTGTCATGGGGTGCCAGATACAGTTTTCCACAATGGAGAAGAGTACTCCAGCTTCAAAGGGGAACACAGCATGGGACTCAGGGAGGCTGGGAGGGATGAACACCCACAGCCCCATCCAACTGGAGCTACTCCATGACCAGACTGACCCTCCCAGCAGTGTGTGAGCCTTTGTAGACCTGCAAAATTCTATGGCAATGCTCTTAAATCCTCCAGCTTTCTCCCTTCCGATACAGATAGCAAAGCTGTTTCTCTACCCCTTTTTTGCATTTTGTATTTCATGGCCACTCTGGGATGACTTAAAACCTGAGAACATGGAAATCAGCATGCAAAGGGGAGCTGTGGACCTCTGCTCTGAGCTGGTTAGGAAAATATCCAATTTGACTAGCGTGGAGTGGTGAGTCCAAACTGAGTCTCAGCCCGAGATCTGTGATGTCATGTCTGATAAAAGTATACCAGAGATGGAATCCAAAGTGCCATGCTGATTTCAAAAGAGAGGTTCGAAGAGAAGCTCCCGGACCTAAAGAGCACCTGGTGGGAAGATCGCTGTGTTATCCCCAACCAAGGCGGGCCACAGCTGGCTTTGTGCCCTCTCTGAGCACATCCAGGGGAGCTCAGGGATTCAGCCAGAGCTGATTTTACTATGCAAATATGAAAAGCTCTGCAGCCCATCCCTCTGAACCCCACAGCTTCTGGCTGGGCCTCAGCTGGCAGAGGGGCGCAGCTGCCCATGGGTGGGCCATGGAGTTATCTGGCCTCCCTGTGTTTCGCCGAGCATCTCCTCCCGCCCTCACCCTGGGCACACAAACATCCTGGGGAGGAGGTGACCTACCTCCCAGCAGCTCAACATGTTAATTTGGGGGATTAATATATATTTTCAATTTGACTCCTTGTTTTGGATTTAGTCACAGGGTGGTAGCAGGTTTCTTAGTCCCCTTTCCACCCTCTTCTTTCCTCCTGGAGGCCCTGCTTGCCCCATCTATCCATACATGGCCAAGAAGACATTTCTTCTTCACCCCCTCCTCCTCACAGCCCCTCCACCTTCCACCCCTCACTCCCAGGGACAAAGTGGGCATCAGTATGAGCCTCAGCCTGGAGGAATATATGTGTCTGTACTGGGTTAGTTTTCAGTAAAGAGTTTAATGCATCCAAGCAGCAATGTTGGACAGAAATATCAGTCAAACTGGCACCGTGGTTGGCACCATCTACAATAGGGGCTGGAAAAAGTCAAGTAAGAAAGTAATTAGCATTGGAGTCTCAGAGATAAGGTTACATTCAAATAATTTTGAAATTAAGCATGGAAATGCCCAACTAGGTGATGCAAGGATGATCCTCTGGATAGATGAGTTTGTACTAAAATCTAGCAGGGGAGTGTTTAAAATCTGTGTTCAGACTTAGGCAGAATCAGTGTGTCCTTTCGATGGCCTAATGCCAGAGTTTAGAGCAGCCACCTGAACCCCATCACAGTCCTGTGACTCTGGATATGTTAAGCAAAGCCTCCAACTTACTTTCCTTCTGCAAATCCAACCCAATCCAGGGACACTTATCCAGAGGTATCTTTAATTAAATTTATGCTGCTCTGTGAATTTCAGTGCGTTGCCATATTTTGTTTTGAAAATGCATTAAAGTATTGATGGGTTGTTAGAAGGAGGTTGAACAGTTTGGCAGCTGGGCTGGGGGCAGCCAGAGCTCTCAGCAGATGGGAAGATGTAGGAGGTCATTTTGCCTTTTTAAGTAAACATGTTGGTGTGGTACTAAAAGAGTTGCCAATTAAATAATTTCAGTGACAGCACTGCTAACTCTCTGAACCAGGTTTCACTGGAACGGGCAGGAGCTCCTCACACCTTTGTGAAGCTGTCGCTCCAGTCGGTTTGCATACACAGCCAGATGTTGATGCCTTGGCTAAATCCTTCCTCGAGCCAGAAGGGTTTCATCCCAGCTGTAAGGAGCTGCAAACTCTTTAATATGACAAAAATGCTACGCAGAGACCTTGACGGAGAAATGTCATTAACAGCGACTGAGTCTGGGACCTTTGGATCTTCAGAGCTAGTTTATTTTGGAGGTTTTGCTAGGCATGCCCTGGAGGATAGCCTTTGGGTTTGGGGTTTTGGGGGTGGATGTGAGCACCTCTGTCTGTCATCTACCTGCTGGTCCTTACTTTGGGCGGAGGTATGGCAATGCCCCTCCAGTATCTGCAGGACAAAGCCCCCTTTACACCTCCGTGTGCTGGGGGAATTTGGACTGGGTACTGGGGTTGTCTGCCCAGGGCAGAGGGGATCTCTCTCGCCCCAGAGGATGCCTCTGGGTTGCCTGGCTGACATCCAGGGGAGGTTTCTCATAATACCACATTTTCAGAAGTTTATTCACCTGGTCCTGATCTGTGATGCCCTGGAGAAGATCTTCCTCTCCTTCAGCCCCCTCTCCTTCCCTAGGCAAGCTGAGGCTGTGCAGTTTGATCTCTTGCCGCATGCTTTCAAAGAAGTGGTGAATGCATTTGTGAGCAAAGAGCCGACTGTGCTCACAGCAAGTTTCCTCAAAAATCTTTTGCTCGATGTCAATGTAGTTGCTCCAGTGACGTGCCTGCAGGAGGGTGGCCTGGTTGAAGCAAGGTCTGAGCCAGCGGGCAAGGAAAGCTGCTACGATAAGGATCAACAAAATGCTCCAGCCGAGTGCCTGGGTGATAAGAAATAAGCAGTGGAACAGGAGCAAGTCAGGCACAAGGACAGGCACAAGATGTTTCCCTGTATCACCAAGACAGGGAAATTGTGTGGCTGGAGGGGAGATGTGGCATATTTGGTCTCCTACCCTTGATCTGTCTCTGAAGTCCAGCACCCCCAAACTGCACTCAAAGGGTCAGTGTAATCTCCTCCCACTGAATATAGGGCATTTATCTATATAACAGTAGTTCAGTATGCTAACTCTTTGCAAAGTTAGCCTCAAGCAGCCAGGCATTTTCTTTGAGCATGGGAGCACCCCAGGGGAAGGGGACTTCACTGCTCTCCTTTGGTGCTCACTTATCTGCAGTGATATCTTCATCTGCCACCTATGCTGGCTCCAGGGCCCAGGAGTCCCATCAGTGGGTGAAGACAGCCCAGACTACATGCAGATACCTTTGCTAAGGGGGGGCTTGTTTTCAATGCTCTCCCACTGGTCCTCATCCCTGACTTGGTACTCCTGTACCAAGAGCAGGGGCCGCTCAGGGCTCCATTCCCCATTGTGTCCTGTTCTCCTATCATTCCTGAGCAAGCTGCTTTCATCTGTCTCAGCTTGCACTGTCCTTAAAACAGCCAGTCCCATCTGTGAGGTTAGCAGTTAGAAAGGTCTTCTGACACTGGACAGGGCCTTAGGATATGCCCATGTTCCTTGCAACCTGCTTTTTATTATCTGGGTTTAGAAGTTGCCGATTCTTCTAGAAACAAAGTTATTTTAATTAAACCATCCTTTATTTCTTTCCTTTTCCCTACCTGAGTGACTCTGGAGATTATCACTGAGGGTGGCAACATCTGGGGGAATAAAGAAGCAAAAAGCAGTCTTGCTCCGAGCCTGACTGTGGTGAAGCAATGACAAATCAAGGAAGAGCAGGAGCACGACGCATGCCCGTGGCACCTCATCAATACGGTGGGGCTCTGCTGGCAGTGACCTACCTGGGACCAGCAGCGCAGGTACCTGGACACTGCCTTGTGGGACGTGTTGTTCCTCATGAGCTCGTCATCCTTGCAGGGCACCTTGGCCAGCAGCTGCTGCACCTGCACTGGACTGGCGTTGGCAAAGCCCACAAACTTCTCGGGATCCACAGAGCCACTGAAAGCGCAGATCAGGCATTTCCCATCCAGGAGGGTGACTACGATCCAGATGATAGGGGCAACCATGGCTCGCTGCATGATGGAGGAACACATGTACCTGGGGCAGGAGAAAGAGAAGTGAGCGAGTAAATGCTGGAAGCTTTCTTCTCATCCACAGCCTTGATGGATGCAAGCTGTCCTATGCCAAGCAGCCCTCCCAGAGCCAGGAAGCTGACTTCCACGATTGTCCCCAGCACTGCTCCAGCTAATGCCTCTTCTGCTCTGGGATCAAAATAACCTCAGCTGAATGGAGGAAAACCACAAGGTTATCGATAAAGAATGACTGTGCTGGAAATGCCACTCTTTCTGCACATTTAAGTGGAAACACCTCGTCTTTTTGCACGTGTAAGCCCCAGGAGAAACCCTGTGTGTACATGACAGGGCAAGAGGCTATGCGGTTTCACAGGGTGGCAGCATAAATCTGGCCATTGGTGTCAGGGTGCTCCTGCCCGCCTTTTCTGGGATAGGATGAGGCTCTGCCTTCACTTCTGCTGTTGTAAATGCATTTCCCATGCCCCTGCCCCTCCAGGCTCATGGGGAAAGGTCCTGGGAGCTGAGCTTAGAAGAAAATTAATTACCAGGAGGATCAGAGCTATGGAGGCAAGACAGCTGCGCAAGAGATGAAAGGAGGGACACCTCTCCCAGTGCAAACCCCACCTGATGACAGCTAGGTCCTTCTTTCTGAGCCCCTGTGGTCGCCGCCACTCCTCCAGCATCACCAGGGATTGTCTGTTGAGAATAAGTCCACACAGGAAGAGGGCAACGGGGGGTACGAACATGATCCCCAAGCCGTATGCCATGTTGTACTGGGGCAGACAGGGGCAGCTGAAGTCAAAGCAGGTATACATCTTTACGCTAGCCAGAGCTAACAGCCCACAGATGCCATTCATTACAGACTCCGAGTTGGACTGGAAGTACTGGAAAATCATCCGGAAACGGTCCATTGTGCTCTTTTAGCTGGGGGGAGCCCTCCTGGAAAATCCCTGGGCTGCTCAGCACAGCCTGTCTCCCTTTGTTCCCCCTTCTGCTGCCGTGGGGCAGGGGGACGTGGGGCAGGGGACGCAGCTCAGCCTGCAGCTGGTCAGGGCAGGAGGATGGGGATGGAAGAGAGCTGCTGTGTCAGGGGGAAAAACCTGTGCTGGGGCTTCCCCACTGGCACACAGCTTTCACAAGTCTGTCTCTTACCCAGTGCTGATCTTCTGGGGCAGTCGGTAGGTTTTCTAGGTGAGCAGATGGATACAGCCTCCAGCAGCTGTTTTTTCCACCCCGTTTTTAATTTCAGGGCTGTCCCATGTGCCAACCAGCAACAACAGCCTCTGGTAGTGCTGGGTCACTCCCTCCCGGAGATGATAACTCTCAATGGAGAGACGTCAGCAGATGCCTGTGAGCTGCCTTCTCTGCTGGTTGAGGGCTCTTGAGTGATTAATTGGCTGGGAGAAATGAGGTGAGTCAAATGAGCTCATCTGTGTTACTGCTGCCACCCTGTTTCTTTTTGGTGAAGCAGCTCCCCAGCCCTGAGCAGAGCAGTGGGGAGGCAGGGAGTACATGCCTGGCTCTGAGCACGCCACATCACTGCAGGCTCAGATTTCCTTATGAAAATGAGCTGAAACGACCAACCCTTCAGTCAGGAGGCTGTGAGAATCAATAGCTTTCAAAACCTGGAATGGCATTCAGGACAAAATCTGCTCTTGGCTACACATAATACACGTACTGTGACATTTGTACCATACCTACATCCATGTCCAAGGTCCCTGCACTGGGGCTCCTTCTTGCTCCCCGTCAGAGGGCATGGTGCACAGAGCAGCTGGCTCATTTGTCCAATGTGACAGGGTTATCATCTTCTGTCCATTTTAAGTATCCCACAGGCAATTCCTCTTTTGCTCTCAAAAGTTTATTTAAAGGTAAATACAGATCATTGTCACACAAAGAAGCTCAGGATTTTTCTGACATATTCAATGTAATTTTCCTTTCCCCAGCGTTCATTTGAAAGCATTTTCAGATTTTTTCTCAATTCAGGTTTCTACATGCATTCAGGAAAGGGAAAAAAAAACAAAAAAAAGCATGTTACATTTACCTATTTTGTTTAAAAAAGTAGGAACTGTCTCCACCACAGTAGACTTGCTGCCAACAGTGAAGTCTCTGCCCATGCCAGCTCCTATTGCAGGGCTGGTTGCCTTGATGGGATCACGCAGAAAGGGAGCAGTGAGAGGGGTACCTATAGTTGCTCGCAGGCACATACGGTAGGTGTGTGACACACGCTGACTCACAGGGCCATAGTGTCATCTCCTATCTAAGCAACAATTCACACAATTACTTTTATGAAATACAATTGCACCAACCATGATATTTGTGTTCTCCTTTGCCAACAAGTGGAAATGACTGCTAATGTTCATCCATCAGCAATAAAAAACCTGTGGCTAAACAGGTGATGTTTCCATTTTGCCATTATAGAACATCAGGACCCCTCCATTTTCCTGTCACAGGACATCAAGACCCCTGGCTGAACTCCACAGGTGATTTTTAGCCAGGGTTCAGCTGTTCCCAACTGCTTCAATGATTGTTGAGTTTCTCTTTTAATGGCTTGCATTTTTGTGCTGACTCTGGTTCAGAAAATGTTGTGCACTCTCTGTAAAACAATTACTTTAGACAAATAATTTTGCCTTTCCAGCTCTCCTGGGCAAAAACATAGTAAAGGCCAAATAGTTCCTCACAACTCAGGAAAATAAGATGTAAAGAGATTAGGAAGCATCCTCTGGATAGCACAAGCTACAGGAGAATTTTACTTCTCCCAAATGCAATTGCCTGGCCTGGATGTTAGAGGTCTGTAAAAGATGCCTCAGGGCAATTACTGTGCTCTGTTGTGATCTGGGATCTCACCAATAACTCAGAGCTGAGACATGGAGTTACTGAATAACAGAAGAAAGGGAATTTTCATTAATTTGCAGCAAAAGACTTTGGGAGCTTCCTGAGAAGAGAGAGAAAGGACCCTTGAGGTAAGTAAATTGCTAGACATAGGCAAATGTTAAAAATTATTCTCAAAACTGAGCACATTTGATTACTCAGTTCTTAGGATGAAACAGAGAGGAAACAAAGACTAAAATCATCTATCATCTCCTCTGTTCCATCAAGGGGACCTGGCCCATGTCCCCAGTGGAACAGTCCCCCTTCTGAGCCTGCTGCAAGGCTGCCTGCAGCTCTCCAGGGCTGTTGGACAGGGGCACCATCCTCAGCAGAAGGCAACTGCTCCTTGGCAGCATGTCTACAAAACTGTGCTGGAAGCTATTGTTCCTCAGCACATCTTTTGGATGTGTGTGTTGGACAACCCTTTGCTTTTGCCTCAGTACTGCAGAACACAGCAAGAGTGGGGAGGACATCCTTCCCTGCTCCTTTATGGGAGTAAAATAGCAACTGTAGGCTTTTTGCCTGAGATGATGAAGGTTATGCTGGGTACAGGTGTGGGAAACCCTCCCTCACCCTGTAGGTGAGAGCCCTTTTGGTGCAGCGCAACCATCAGTCCCTCTTGTTTTGAGGAAAAGGTTAATTTCATCATCAAAATCTGAGCTGGCCATTTAAAATAAGACAAATTCAGGAGAACGGTATGGTCAGTTCTGTGCATGAACCTGTGATGCTGAAGCAGCACGCAGCATGCATACCTAAGTGTGCATGCATACATAGGGTGTGTGCCTATCCGGAGCAAGCCCATATACATATATTTAGGTGGGGAGCAGAGAGACAGCAGCTCAGGTCCAGTGTGCCTGGGGCTGCGCCCTTGGTCTGTGCCACCAGCTTCACACTCACCATCGGGTTGGTCCCCAAAGGACAGAGGCAGGAGGACTGTGTCTGTGCCAGTAACCCTGCTTGCTTCCTGGCCTCCCCCTAACCCCAGCAATGAGTGAGCTGCTGAGGATATGCATTGCTTTGTCACACTTCAGTCTCCCTTTTCGGTGCAGGGACTGGACCCTCATTCCCCCAGGAAGGTGGGTGTCCAGGAACAGACATTTCACTGTCCCAAAGCTTGCTCTGCTGGAAACAGGCGGTTACCATGAGCAATTGTCCCAGCAGTGAGGAAAGCCCCCAGGGCTCTGGCGGGAGCACTCCTGGCCTGGGGTGTGGGAGATGATGGGTTACCTCATTAGGAGGGGTTTACAGTTATTTATAGCTTTGACAAACTATTTGATTATCCAGACTGAGTCTTTTTCTGTCCTGAATGTCTGCCTCAGGCAAAATATTTTTTGAAAACTGTTACATGCGTTGGTCAGCTGCTCCTGAGATGATGTAAGGGCAGAAAAAAAAAGGACTTATTTTCCCCTATTAAAAACCAGGGGGTTTGTGCAATTGACCTGCACAGGCACAGTAACTCTGACACCCACCTCAAGGGCACAGAGATGACTGTCCCACCCCTAGTGGGTGCTGCAGTTGGGGATCCCCCACCAGCACAGCAGGAGGCTGAGTTATCACCCTGCTCCTTTTTGTGCTTCTGTTGCTGGTGGTGGAGTTACCCTGAGACAAACTGGGATGTAGAAATGTCCCAGCACAGTCCTGGTCTGCAGGAGACAGCTGTGAAATTAATTTAGCTCTGAATGTCTTCCTTCCTAGTTTCTTGGCTCATTAATTGCCACATGGGGATGCTACCTCCACACGGTGTTTGGTTAAAATGAGCACTGCATGGCCATGAGGAGCAAGAGCAGAGCAATGTATGTTCCTTGCCTCAGTTTCCCTTTATGGGGTTAAGTGTGGATCTGCATGGACCCCCACACCGGGTGCTGGGAGGACGAGTAAGTCACTGGTGAAACACTGCATCCCTGTGGTGTGAGATCAGCTACCACAGGACCAGGGTCCAGTTTCTGTTTTTGGCATCTCTCATCTGGTGAATTGGAAAACCCCTTCCACCTGGCCGTGTTTATTCAGAGGACAAGGATTAATGCTTTTTCAAGGATTAGAGGAAACCTGTCCTCTTGTGTTTAAGTGAAGGCCATTAGCACCATAAACCACCTTTACCAACAACAGTGCTTGCAGACCAACTTCTTGTTCCTCTGCAGTCCAGGTGGGCCTGTTGCCAGCCCTTGGGCACACAGCAGGTTGCAACTGGGATTTATTCTCTGTTACCTTTTTCAGACAGTTTGGGGACCAGTCTCCCACTGGTATCTGAGGACAGTGGAACAGCATCATTACCTTCTTTCTCTGCAAAGCTGGCAGAGGATTTTACCCCTCACCGTGTGGAAATCTTTCAGCATCTTCAATTTATCACAGCAGAAATAACCTTCCATTTCAACTGCCCATGAAGAAGGACATAGGTGATATTTCCTCCCTCCAAGCACTATGAAAACTCCTGATAGTCACTGGCAACAGAGACAAATTAGAGCACTTTTGGCTCCATGAGGCAGGGACCACCTGAATCTGAGTATTTTTGCACAGCTGAGTAAACTGCCCAGGCTAAGCAAATAATGACTAATGACCATTAAATGATTAATGAGGTGCTAGCAAAAATGATGGCAGCATTGTGAAATGTAGTTTTTCTTCACTACTAATGTTCTCTGGAGATTACATACTCCTGTGTTCTGCCTTGTAACTTCATTAAAGCACCAATATGCAGTTGACTGCTAGTGAGGATATATATGGCTTAGTTATGTGTTGTTGTTCTTAAGATCTCATTATATATTGCTCTTCTGGCCATTAGTACTTAGCTTTTTGGCTTATGTGGAAGTCCTGTTTCCTGATCTCTGCGTTATCCCAACCTTGACCTAATTCACACCATTTCTGACTGAGAGAGCTTTTTGCAGGGCCATTTATCTGCTTGTCTCGGAGCTGATGCTGCAGAGAGATCATTTGAAATGGAGTTTCTTCTCATCTCAGGAGTGAATTGGGGAATAAGGTGGAGAATTAGGGAATCAGGCTGATCTCTTAATATCCCGGCTCAGTGATTTTTTCAGACTCTTTCTGATTT